TTTCCATCCAATGAGTAAGAAATTACACACTGGGGAGGGGGGGTTTTTTTTTTTTATTTTGTTTGCCAAGTCCCATACACCCTATTGGTCACTGTCTGTCTGTCCCCAGAAATCAGGCGAGCATGTCACCCAGAGAACAGGGCTTGTAACTCCCACTACGCAACTTCTGTAATTTGTTGATATAGTAATTCGTTCAACGTCTACTTCTTGAGGAAATACATCGTGGTAGGCAGGGAGCCACGGGCGGGGCCACCTGCACTGAGAAAGACGGGCTCGTTCACCCCCAGACAGATGCTCAGTGAACGGACGCTAACAACACACTATGACAACGTGGTTTTAGAAACACCTGGTGGAACCACGCAGGGGAGAGGCTGCCAGGAAAAGCTTCCCGTGGGGGAACTGGGCTCAGGAAGGTCTGGACAGTGCAGGCTGAGTAGGACTCAGCGGGACAGGTCGGGAGGGTAGGATGAAGGGGGTGTTCCAGGCAGCAGGTGCCTTTAAAGGCCGAGGAGAGGGAGGAGGTGGCAGGCCTCAGTTGGCACATCTGAAACGCGAGGGCCTGCAGAGGAGCACTGTGGTGGCACAGGCGAAGCTCCAGAACATTTACGTGAACGCCAACTCCTAAAACAAGGGCACGCTTCAAAAGATGCCCTTCCACCCCCGACCGCGGGAAGGGCTGCCTTTTGTACACTGAAGGGGGCACCTGTGCTGGCAGCTCAGAGCACCTGCCCAGTACTCGATTCCGAATGCATGAATCACTTCTAATAAAAATACTAGATTTCATATTTTTATTGGAAAATAATAAATTTGCCCTCAAGTGGAAAAACTCCTGATTTAATCAACATTTCTTTATTCTCCTAGCCTCTCTAAGAGAAAGACATTGTTGTATTTTGGGGTGACAAGCAGCGAGGTCTCAAAAGAATATAAAATAGTCTTTGGACACACGTATCTTTTTTTTAATTTCGTCTTCATTGTATTTTTTCCCAGTACCATTGAGTCCCCCTGCAGGCCCCTCCCCTCAGCGATCGCGCACTGCTGTCCACGTCCAGGAGCCTTTTCTCCTTCTTGCTCCATCCCTCCGTCCCCCCGCCCCGCTAGCTGTCACCTGCCCTCCATCTCTGAGTCTGCCCCCACTTTCCGTGTTAGTTCAGTTTGTTCATGAGATTCGACATATGAGTGAGATCATATGGTAGCTGGGCACCTATATCTTATGTGCATGTAGACAGATAAAAATTCTGAAAGAATAAATTCTAATATAGCAATAAAAGATGGAGAAATCATCTTTTTGGTTTATCTCTTTATTTCCTTTCACAATAAACAACTACTATTTGTATGTGAACTTCCATCAGTAAGTGCGCGTCTCACTGCAGGTAAGATCGAGGACCAGACCCCCTAACCTTTGGGGTCTTAAGGAGTTTACTGCACAAGCCCCAGGTATTTCAATCAGGGACAAAAGGGAACGCTGTCCTTCCACAGAACTGTCACTGCACAGAAAAGCAAACATCTCTTACTTTCAAAGCGACCCTTCTCTCACTGCACGGGTAAGTAAACTGAGGCCAAAGGAACTTGGCCATCTTACAGAAAATGATAAAGCGAGTGGGTTGACAAGCGGACCCAGGGACAAAGGACGGGGCAAGGGACCACTGGTGTGACAGTATAGGGAAGGAACAACTTTTGCATAAACTCAGAAAGTGTTACAGGTGAGGCCCCTGGTTCACGGGGTGTGGCACACCCCGGAAACTGGGAGACGGCCGCGGGTGGGGGCCGCGGCGGCCCGGCCCCCGGCAGCCCTGGAGTCACCCGAGGGGTCCAGGAATCAGAGGCGCCACCAGGACCATCACTGAACGCATGGGTCGTGCCAGACACGTATGCCAGTTTTCAGGCACATATGGATGGTATTGATAATCAAATTCCCAACATTTAACACTTCCTTTCTCAGCTCATTGTTTCTCAGTCCAAAGACACAACTACCCTTCTCGAGCAAGCATCGGCCTGAATGTTCGATGGGCAGGTGGGTCCATGCTCAGAGCCTGGGAACACTCGTGTAGAGAAGTGAGCACAGGCCCCTGGCAAGACCGAGCACGGGGTGCCGGCCAGTGCGGGCGTGTTTCTTCATCTCTGAGCCTCACTTTGCACACTCCAAGGTGAAAATAAAATAATGCCATGAACCTTCCCCTGAGGGAAAACTCAGTGAACTCAGTTTTCCAGCTGACCGTCGGCTCCACCTCATGCCTCGCCTCCAGTCGGAATAAACTGACAAGCTCCACACGAAAGGCCAACCTACCAGGCCAGCAGCCAGGCCCAACACTGTCACCTCTTGGCATGCCCTCCTAACCCGCAGGAACACAAAAGAGTACACATAAAAAAAAAAATTCTCAGTAGTACTTCTTTTTTTGAATAGGAGTGTGTAAATTCAATCCCTGCCTTTAGAACAAAGTGTAACACATTCTTGGAGAGTGTCAGAAAGGTAATGAATGGTATGTTAAGTTTTATCTACATACAACCTGAACTGAAAATTATTCTTGAGGTATGTTCTCAATGGTTTAGATCAAATGATAGTTAAATATAATTCAAGATAATCATGTACTAGCTCACCCTAAAATCCCTTTAATCGCAAAGACAGTCTAATTTACCTGAAACGGCACTAAAAATTGAGTATTTTAAGTTGATAAGCACAGTAAGTAAAAAGAGAGCAAGATTATTCTAATTTTAAGTGCTCTATGAGAAATGCATTCTAAATATTGGATTCAAATGTAGTTAAACAGTACTTTTTTATATTTTTATTTTCAGGGAAAAATGTCTTCTCTGCTATGAACCACTAAATGGGTCACCATTAAAGGGACCATTACTACTGTACTGAAACCACCTCTCTACACTGTATCTTCCTGCAGGACCAGCTTCTGAGAAGACACAGCCATCGGTCAACAGTGGCACCGATTATTTTTCTTCTCTCACAGGCCTTTCCACCTTCGAAGCACGAGCCCCAGGTATTTCAATCAGGGACAAAAGGGAACGCTGTCCCTCCACAGAACTGTCACTGCACAGAAAAGCAAACATCTCTTACTTTCAAAGCGACCCTTCTCTCACTGCACGGGTAAGTAAACTGAGGCCAAAGGAACTCGGCCATCTTACAGAAAATGATAGAGCGAGCGGGTTGACAAGCTGACCCAGGGTCTCCCCAGCCGCCACGTGGCTGATGGTGCTACAAGCGACTGTAAAAGTGGCGGCACGCACAGGGCGTGCTTTCAGTACCAGGCGCACAGGCGTGCCTTGGCTCACGGCACGTCACAGCTCTTGCATCTTTTATAGATTGAAAGTTAAGACCCTCCACCAACAAAAAAAATGAGGACTTGCTGAAGGCTCGGAGGATGGTTAACATCTTTTCAGCAGTATTTCTTAAATTAAGACAGAGACATTGTGTTTTTGGACATAATGCTATTGCACACTTAATACACTACGGCATAGTGTAAACATAACTTTTATATGCACTGGAAAACCAAAATATCCATGTAATTAGCTGCATTGCGATATTCGCTTAATTTTAATGATTTGGAACCGGTTTGGTTCCACAATATCTCAGAGGTATGCTTGTGTTTTAACTGTTAAAATAATCCAAGAAGATACAGTCATACACCAATGTCCTCCAGATAATAAGTGTAGGAGCCGTGTTAATTTAGTTGAATCTTCTCTAATTTAATTACTCTTATTATTCATAATTACAAAGATGATGGTAAATTAAGAAGTACTATCATTTTACTCTCTCCCAATAAGTACATAATATATTTCCAACTAGTAAATCAAATCAATATACCAATCCTGCTTAGGGTAGTGAACACACAATACAACACACTGATGATGTATCATAGAACTGTACACCTGAAACCTATATAATTGTATTAACCACTGTCACCACAAGAAATTCAATAAAAAGTAAAAACTAGACAACTAAGAAACAAAAAGACAAAACACACGCACACCCCATCCTGAGGCTTAGACATACTGTACATATGGGAAACCTGAGAACTATTTTAATTAAAGCTTTTTTTAGATGTAGATTGCCGTATAATAGATCCTTAAGCGCTTTAAAGAGTCACATTAATTCCAAGCTTTTTAGAAACATATTTACAGGAGAAAGCTTCTTTTGCAATGTATATGTTCATAAATGTTTCCATTAGCTAAGAGAGATCTGGGAATGGGATCAAGCCATATTGAACGTGAAGGGCTCACAGCAGGGTTAAGTCTCTGACAGTTCTCATAGCAAGGGCCACTGCTCTGCGGATTTGAAGCCACAGTGTCCCAGAAGGGCTACCAGGGACAACTTCCTAACTTAACAAGGGAAGACAGTGAGGCATATTTTAATGGCCACCTTTCATCTCACGTCTACCTCCTAAATACAAAACTGGATTTGGACTTCTTTCACACTGCTAACAATTTAGTATTAATGTATGCATCTCATTCTCTCCCCTCAAGAAAGAAGCCATACACTCCAGCTACAAATAACTTTCAAACGCTCTTCTGCAACTAAATATGAAAGCTAAAACACCACTCCTTAAAAAAAAAAAAAAAAAAAGGTTTAAGAACTCGCAAACTGCATATTCATGTCAACCTCAGAACACATGGAGCAGCAGGAAAATCATTACTTGTGACCCAACTATGTGTTGAGGGACGTCTTGTGTCTTTTGTGCATTTCACTTCACACCCAGTATTCCAGACTTGCACCCGCTTGGCTCGGTCAACCCCAAAAGGCCCGAAGAGCAAACTACGGCTTTAACGTGAAGAGTGCAGTTCTGCTCACTGCCTGGGGCCTGATCTTAGAGGAGCTCGGATCAAACATTTATTTCCCGTCTGCTTTTTTAACCGAGGACCTCAGGCTTGGGATGTGGTTAAAGGGCAGAAACAAGACTGAAAAGGGGGGGAAAAAAATCCCAAACGCGGAACACACGAGGAACAAAGGAAACACAAGCTTGTGAACAGGAAATGAAGCAACTCTAGACAAATACCTTTTGGGGCCGCCAACGTAGGTGAAGGTAAAGGTGGAGTCAGAGTATCTGAAATCTGAAACAGAAAAGTCCTGTTAAAAGCTGTCCCTGGGGCGGATTTTTGCCGGGTCAGGGCTGGAGCCCCGGGCTGGTTGAGCCAGACGCCTGAGCCGGCAGGAGGCGAAGGCTGGGGAGCCGTGGGGACCCCTCGCGCGTGGGAGGGGATGCCCCGGGCAGACGCCGCGGGAGGCCGCCCCCCGCAACAAGTGCCGGGTGTCATGGCAACGGCGGGAATAGCCCGCTCCGGGCGGCCGGAAGCGGCCCCCGCCGAGCTGGAGGCTGCGAAAGCCAAACGCGATCCCTCTCCCAGGGGAGCAAAATGGACGCAAGGCGACCGCCAGGAAGGGACGCTGGCGGACCCGGGCGCCCCGGGCACCCCTCTCCTTCGGGACCACGCACTGCCAGTCGGAGGAGACTGGACGGCCCTGCAGGAGCCGGAGGTCGGCCCGACGCTGCCCACGGGGCCTCGGCGCAGCCAGCGAGCGCGGCGCAGCGCAGCGGGCTCGGTTCCCGGCGGCCGCCGCCGCCGCCGCTCACCCCTTGCGCAAACCCGCCAGGTCCCGCCGCCCCGCTCGGTCGCCGCTGCTGACACCCCGGCGGCGGGCTCGGGCGCTTCGGAAGCGCACAGGGGGCTCAAAATACAACGAAGGCCCCCGGCCGGGCCACCCAGGTTCTGCCCCCAAGGCTGCTGGCTGCCCCAGACCAGGGGGAGGGGGGGGAAGGGGACGGGCTGGCGCCCCCTCCCCCTTTGGGCTCCAGCTCTTGCTGCAGCAGCTGTTGCCAAACGAACCCCGGAACGGGGACGTGCGACCCACCCCCACCCCCGGCCACACACGTCGCGGTCTGCAAACCGGGAAGGGGGGCGGCGGGCGGCCGGGAGCAGGCGCAGGGTCCGAGGCTCGGAGAGGCGAGAACTCACCTGCAAACAGGCAGTCCTTCTCGGCTCTGGACTTCTGGATCACGACGTCGATATCCTTCTGAATTCGCTCTTGCCTTGAACACATCCCCATGAAATCAACCCCTGGAAAAGAAGCAGCCGCTATTTCCACCCACCCCACCCCCTCGCACGCTTCCAGCTTTCTTAAATACTCAGTTAAAAATGAAACCTCTGGCCGAGGCAGGGGCTGAAGGCGAAGTGGCTTCGGAAGTGATCCTGGGTGAGGGAGGAGGCGGCGGGGGAGGGGGAGGGGGGTCAGCTTTGCATTCCCAGATGTGACCGCCCAGCTGCCGCTCGCCGCCGCTGGATTCCAATTTCCTCCCTTCTGACAAAGGATGCTGATGACACCGAGTCTCACTTTCTCCCTTCCCCGCCCGCAGCAAGGGCCGTGGGGGCCCGGGGTGCTGGCGGCGGCCGGAGAGCGAGCAGCGGCGGGGCGGCGGGCGCCGGCGAGGGGTGAGCCCCGCTCCGCCTCCCGCGCGCACGCCCCCCGCGGCCCGCACGCCGGCCTCCACTCCCGCGCACACTCGCGCCCGCGGGCGGTGCCGAGGCTGCTGCAGCGCTGCCCGCCGCAGACCCTCCGCACCCGCTGCCCCGCCGCGCGGTCACCCGGCCGCTGGTGCTGCGCTCGCCGCCGCCGTCCCGGGCGAAGGCCGGGTTCCCCACCCGGGCCGCCGCGCGCGCCGGGCTCAGTGGGAATGCAGGTAGTGAAGACGCCCTGGGGCTCCCAGGCTCCCCCCGCCCCAACCCAACCTCCACTTTTCTGAATGCTACTCACTTTCGGAAGGAATTATGAGTCAGATGGAAAACCCTAACCGGAGTGGCCAGGAGGGGGCGGGGGGAGGAATAAAGAAAAATCTTTTTAATTGAAAAATAAATAAATAAAACGAACAAATCGCTCCTTGTTGCCACATGAGGCAAGGGGGAAAAGCTCTGAAATTACCCCAGACGCGCATCCTCCGACGCCCTTACGGCCCGAGCCTTTCTCGCCGAAATGGAAAGCAGTTCCGCCCCCCTGGGGGTGTCCTTTAGGAAACGCAGCCCCCGTTGAGGGGCTTCCTCCACATCCAAAGCCTCACCAGTTCTTCCTTCCTGGGCATTTCGGTCCTTAAAAACATTGGCAGATTCAACCGGCACGGCTCAGGGGCTCCCTAAAATAGGGACATCTGTTTGGCTTGTTTTAAAAGGCCACCCCTGTGCCAGTCAGTCAAGGGAAAGCTCGTACAGTCCTCTTGTGCTTAGAAATGAGATGCGACTCTGAGCCTCACCTGCTGTTCCGCCTAAGGGCGCCTGGGGCTGGCAGAGCTGCCCCGCCCAGGTGTTGCCATGTGCTTGGGATGGCTTCCAGGGGTAGTTTTCTTACTGATCTATCTGTTCTCCACTGAGAAGGCTCCTCTGGGCATACCATGTCTCATCCGGTTCTGCATTCCCAGGGCCTGGTGTAATGCCTAGGAATGTAGGACGGAGGCCGAAACGTGGGCTCCATGCATGAATGGCCGTGCCTTGCAGCGTCTTGGTAGGTCCCCCACTTTCAGTCAGCTTCCTCATCAGCGCGAGTACCCCAGAATTGTCAAACGAGCTCAGACCCTTCGTCAGCCCAGTTCAGAGTCTGACAGTGGCGATGTGTCGCAGAGTTAAGAATGACTGTCATTCCTGACGGATTCTTAAGATTCTAGAGGGACAAAGGCCATGTGAGATGATAGGCTTCACTTCTTCCATCTCGCAGAGAAGGAAACATGACATTATTTGATGTGCAGCCTGGAATACAGGACAGTGGCTGTGCAGGAAACGCTTCCTGTGAGGGGCAGGGCAGGTTCAAGTCCCTCCCGGTTTTCTACTGGGCCGCCCAGAGCACCTTCTTCCCTCCCACAGAGCCCGCAGGGTCCTGCGGACTTCCTTCTTCCATCCTTTGCTCTAACTTCTCCAAAAAGCTTTCAATCTATCAAGTCACGGGCATTTTTCTTAAACTTGCCTCTCTACAGAGCCTGCATTCTCAAAGCAGAACCTTGACTACAAATCCAGTTGAAGTCGTTTTAAAGCCACCGAGCGTGCTATTGTCCGGATCGCCCTTTGGTTAACAGCTCCATAAACTTGGCCTCCTTGCGATGTGTGTGATATTTGATTTTTTTTTCCCCAAGCTTCACAGGCTGCCCTGTCTGTGTTAAACACAGCTAACCCCACTCTGCCCGTAAGGTGTGATACATTTTCGTATTTTTAAATGTTAAAGGATAAGATAAAAAGTGAAACCCAGCCTTTCTCTCTTGTACACATTTCTGCAAGATAAGTCTCTCCAGTTAACGCTGTACCAAGGTATCACGGCGCCGTGCTAGGGCCTCCGGGCCTGGTTCTTCCAAATCCTGTCCACGGCCAGCATTCCCCTGACCCTGTCTCATCTCAGACTCTTAAATATTTAGATCATTTTTGCTCCTATTGAAAACTACATGCACCTTTGAGATGAAGGGGTTCTAACCTTGCCTTAAATACTCATGTGCGCATGCACGCCTACGCATCCAGGAGTGTAGCCATGTTTTAGGTAGGCCGTTAGTGTGTTAAATCCCGTCATTCACAATGAGAAAACTCCAGACCTGTGCCATAGTAAACTGTATGAGGGATCGTTGAGTCTAGTACAAAGGCCCGCCGGTTTAGAGAAAAATGATCCCAAGCCAACAGATAGAACTGTAACTAGAGAAAAATGTCAACCCCTCACTTCGCGCTGCAAGGCGCCCACTGCCTGTGTCAGGCCGTGGAAGTGTGGGCGGTAACTCGCACTCATCCGCAGCTCACTAGACAGTCCGAGGCTGCCCCAAACGCTCCACACAGATTCACCCTTGTCATATTTACAGTAGCCCTGCATGGTGGCTCTTATCTCCTACTTCACATTTTACAAAAGAGGAAACCGAGGCACGAAGGGGTTCACTAACTCGTCTCCGGTTTTTCTCTCCCCAAACCTTTCAGCAGTTGAGCTGGACTTTAGGAAAGTAAGTGTTCAGAGGTCTCCCTGGGGAGGCGAGTGGCGGGGCCAGTGGCAGCAGACGCAGGGGGTGGGCGGGGGAAGCGGCCGGAAGCCCCGGGAGGGATGCCAGCGGCCTCAAGCGGCGCCTGCAACGTGGCCTCTTCCAGGGACGGCCTCGGTTCCCCTCCCCCGCGCTGACCTTCCCTTCCCAAATGGACCCCGGCCCTTGGAAACTCTGAAGAAAAAGCCTGCCCTCTGCTATTCCCTGGGGACTCAGAAAGGGGATGGGAAGCAGGGTTAGCAAATAAGCCGCCTGCTTTCCCAAATGCGTGGGGTGCTACCAGCAGCGAAGGCCGGTGGGAGTGGCCGCCGCCTCGGTGGGTGCGGGAGCACCCTGCCACGGCCAGCCTGTGTGCAGAATCAGGGTGAAAAAGGGAAAGGGTGGGTGGCGGGGTTTCCACGGAGGTGGTCACCGCGGGCCTTCAAGCCAGGTGAGGGTGGGACTTCATGGAGAAAACCAGGAGGCCGCTGGGAGGCAGCGGCTGGTAAAATTCAATTATTGGATCTATGTGCCTTTCTCCTGCAAGTGGTCTGTAGTGGGAAGAAATGTGCAAAACTCAGAACGCCTGCCAGGCCCCCGGCGCTCCTCAGGCACGGGGATGGGGCAGTTCTTTCTTAATCAAGCTGTGAGGTCTTCTGGTGTGGGAGAAACCAGTCCCGCCCAGTATCCTAACCTCGTCTGATAGGTCTAGCAATCAAAGCAAGGGCAACCCAAAGTCAGCCTTCACTGACCTCGACAAAATGAAGGAGAATTTTGGTGGCTAGATGTGAAATTTGTCCCAATTTGGTCCTAACCTGAGGTCGTTTCGCGGTTTTATGGCCTTTTCTCGCCTTACTGAACTTAACCAATGCCGAAGTGAGAGCGAGAAACCAGACCAGCTCGCTCTTGTTCCAAGGTTCGCTTTCATTTAGTCCCATTTGTTTCTCTTTAAAATTTAATCCCTGTCTCTCCTCAGCGCTTGTTAGATAGGATGCCTCACCTTCCCGGACAACAAACTCATCCTCAGTGTGTACTCACATTCGTTCTACTCTGTTTTGAATTATCTCTCGTGTCCTTTACTTTTAAAAGTGCATAAATACTGCAAAAATGATAAAACTTATGAAAACATCCATGAGTACAAAGTAAAAGTCCCACCCATCCTGATCCTTAATTCCACCCCTCACCCCAAAGGCAGCTAATATTTGTTATGAGAGAATCCTTTCATTCTTGCATTCATCTGTCCACACAAAGGTACACATGTTCAAAGATGGATGCACATACATTTTAACTTAAAAAGAAACACAATAGTACATGTTGTTTTGCAACTTGAGTTCTCCACTGTCTTGCAGAACTTTCTATGTCAATGCAAAGATACCTAGCTCATACCTTGCAGAGCATTTTATCGAATGGATAAACCACAATACATTTTAACTGTGCCTTTACAGTCATGATGGGTTTTTCAAATGTTTTGTGATTCAAACCATTTGCAACAAATGCACATCTTTATGCACAGTTTCAGCAGTTTCTTTGGGATAGATTGTTACAAGTGGAATAACTGGATCACCAGGGACTGGCAATTTAAAAAGTTGATAGGTACAAGCAAATCGCTCTCAAAATTACCTTATCATTTTATACTCCAACCGTTTTTGAGAGTACCTGAGTCACTGAGACATTCCTAACTACGGATACCATCAGTTTTTAAATCATCTGCTAGTCAGTTGGATAAAAAATATTCATCTTGTTTTTATTTCTTCCCCTGATAATTAGTGAGGTTGGACATATTTTCAAGTGTTTATTGGCAATTTGTGTAGTCTTCTGAGTAGTCAGATATTCTTGAGTGTAATTGCTCCCTGCCATATCCTCTGTATATTTTCCGGTTGGGTTTTTCTGGCTTTTTATTATTTATTCATAAGAGAGCTTTATATATTCTGAACAACAATCCCTTTTCTATTACAGATAATTTTTAGTCACATGGAAGTGTAAAGTTTTTATTTATTTGAAATAATGAAAACAAAAAAATTTAAGCTAACTTCTTCAGACCAAATACTGCCTTCTTCAAAAAATCTTTCCTGGCTTTCAACTCACTAACACTACCTCTTCCCTGAACTCCTCATTTCTAGACTGCGAGATCCTTGGAGACAAGAG